ACCTTAAAAATACTTGAAATAGGTGAGGTGTTTATTTGAGTACGTCTAGATTCTTATTTTGAATATTATTAATGGTTTTTCGAAAATATTAAACATAAAATTACTTATTTAAGTTGTTACCTAATATCACAATAGGAACTTAATATTTATATAATAAACAAAGTGAATCATAAAGTAAGTCACGACACGATTAATCACGAGACGCGACAAAATGTCTTCCTCGCTTGTATGAAATTCAACGCGCCGAACATAACCTATCACAGCGCAAGAACTCCCGAAGGCAGTTTCGGTCGTAGTTTCAGCAGGTTTAGGCCTCGGTCAGAGTGGCATCGTTTTCGGCTGAACTGTGATCGGCCGATGATGATGGTCTGTATATAGCCGTTTTCGATTGAGATCACTGAATAGGTAGGATACGTTTTAATTCTTCATATAGTGCTTTTCAGTGAAAAGTGAATAACCGGCATGAATTTACAAACCTACTTGTTGACAGAAAGTAGTCAAACGCTACTACATTAATGACATTTATCAATCCAGAGAGAAAATTGGTGATTTTCAAACGCTTTTTCCAGAATTACTGGATCAACCTGAAAAGTTTGTTGAGTACATGAGAATGGGTGAATGAACGTTTCACTACATTTGTAATGGAATTCAAGATACCATTCGGAAATACTCAGATTTTCGTCGGTATATAGGTATCTCCAGGTAACTTCCCAAAAAAAAACAAATGAATTAGAATTTGTCCAATGCCAGAAAACTTCGGCCGAAGTCGCCGAATCGGTTTTATTGTGACCGTGTCAATGTGTCTGCTCATACATGAAATAATCGGAGTAATATGCCGTACACGACCGAAATGGAGTTTGGCCGAAACCGGTGCCACTCTGACAGAGACTTTTCACCGCCGAAACCGAAAACTAACCAAAATTCGTTTTGTTGCCGAAACTCAACCGAAACCGAACTTTCGGTCGGACACTACACTCAAATGTATTTTTCAAATTTACCAGATACAATTTTATTGAATTATTTCATATCTAGTGAGTAGTTAAATGACGGAAGAAGCCAAGTCCAGCCGTGAGAAACATAAGAAATTCACTGCTACAAGAAATTTGTTGTCTCCGTTCTAAAACTCATCAGTCATCTTTAGTTAGTTATTGTTATTCATGGCATTTTCACTGAAATTTCTTAAATGGGTGAAGTTTTATTATATGGAAATAGCAGTCTAGGTTTAAGGTTATGTCGATGACTATTATGATTATGATCAAAATCAAGCAGACACTGACAACTGACGTAACGTAGTGTCAAATTCCGCTTCAAAACCTACCTCACGCTAGTTTTGAATTATGATGAATACGTTTAATATCATAGTTGATGTGACGACATCGTTTCAACGCCAGAATGAATGTATTTGAATCACAGACGAATACGTTTTGAATACATGAGCGCCAGAAAACGCTTTTGAAGTTACAATACGTTCAAATAATTTTACACTCAACTAGTGTCCAACCGAAACCGAATTTAAGCAACGGTCTCAGTTCCGGTCGAAACCGAAAACGAAACTTCTTTACAAGGAGTATGTTTTGAGGAAAAAATAAAGAAAACATTATTATAATCAGTCAGTGAGTATTATTTTTTATCTTTAAATCACAACGTTATGCAGTCTTCGACATTCTTACTTATTGATAATCAACAAATCAACATAACAACCCCTTATTAAGAAAAAATATTAATTGCACCTTAAAAATACTTATAATAGGTGAGGTGTTTATTTGAGTAGGTGTAGACGTAGGAAAAATAAATTCCAGTGATGAATAACCATTCAAATTTCCCGCCTTCCTAACCTCACTAATATGGCTTATTTTTTATATTGGCTAAACTGAAAAAAAAATTGAAAATTGAAACGTAAAGTTCAAGTTTATTTTTGATCCAGAAGTACAGAGTCATTAGTTTTGCATTATTCAAAATTTTAAGGTGCCATAATAATAAAAATGACCTCTAATGTACCCCCTCTATTGTTAACTATCATCCTAAACTTTTATTATTATGTATTCCAAAAAATTTTTGACAGAGTTTATTCAACCTCACAAATGATTATAGATGAAGAATATCACCTACCTCTTGGACTAGCTTATTGCAAATTTGATTTTGCAGCCGTAAGTATCGATGTACCGGATAACTACTTCTAATAAAGATGTTTTCAATTTCAGTGGGACCCAAAAGTAACCACACTTCCTGGACTTTACTTGGTGAGTGCTGTCCTTCTGGGACCTTTTGATCTGTGTACGACTTATTGGCTCAGATATATATCTTTCATAGCTGCCATTTTCAACATTCCGCTCTTCTTTGCACTGTTAAGTGTATATCATAAACAGGTGGATATTTATTTATTTATCGAAAGAATTTTAATGAATGCATTGAAATTTCAGAACAATTACTTGAATGTTTTGTCATCTTTCACATTGGCTCTGTGTCCACCATTATTCTTCTTTGGTCATTTATATTACACGGAAACTGTTTCATTGATGATGATTTTATTAATGTTCCTTGCATCGGAAAGAGATTGTCACTACCTTGCATCAATAATAGGTGAGAATTTTTATACATTTGCTTTGTGTGTGTGTGTGTGTGTGTGTGTTATGTTGGATTTTTTATGTTGAATTACAGAAAATTTTCAAATGTGTTTATCATACCAAGCAAAAACTTTTATTTCATAATTTTCAGCAGATTATTCTATCTTTGCTTCACTCTGATGTAATTTTTTTATTGTGTATTACTGAAATAAGTATAAAGAATTCGATAGATGCATCATTATTTTGCTTGTCAGTTCCTGGAGAAGTGTAATCAGCGATTATCAGACACAGGAGCTTTCGCCAAATTTAATTTTTTTTTAATCGATATTCTTGTAAGCTGATCACAAATCTAAAATCACAGTTTGATGTTAGTATCAACTTTCGGAAATTTTGTCCTTCAAAAGTCCAAATATGAAATACTCAGAAGTGGATGTTTTCAAGAACTCACTTTTGAAGACTACAACTTGTAGTATACCACATTCTTTTCGCAATTGCTTGCCTATAGATTGCTAAAATATGTGATTTGTTCAAAACATTTTCTTCTCAGCAATCCCTCAACCACTGACTATCTGAGTAAAACTCCACAACGAAATAGAATAATTCAAACAATTCATGAATTAACAACAAATTATAGAAAGTTATCAGGGATTTAAAAACTCTGGGAGTTCTTGCTTCAAATGAATTCGTAAGTACAGTGACTGTAGGCAAAACTTGAATTCATGAACAATGGATACAACAAGCTGTAGAAAGAAGGAATGTACTACATGTTGCTGCACACAATGTTTTGTAATTTTTCACCAGAGCTGCCTGGAAAGAAAGCAATGTATGCAAAACATTCAGTGATAAAAAATCATTTGCTCTAAAGAATGTGCTAGGAAGAAGCAAACTGAGGAAGATGAAATACAAAAAGTCTATGAAAAAAATCGGGATTACTGAAGAAGGCAATAGAAGAAGGAAGTGGAACTGGAAAAAGAAGTAACAGAGAGGTGCTAGTCAGAGAACTACTGGAAGAAATTGAGTAATTGAAAGAAGGTAATTAATAAAGATATGATTTTATAAATAAACTGAGGGGAACATCGAGGGAATTTGAAGATAAGGTCTCAAGTGCTGAACAAGAATTTATTACCAGACTTAAGAAACCAAATGGAATCATTTCTAGACTGAGAAATGATATTCTTAAAATATACAGCTCTTCAGAGACAGATTTTCCAACACACACACACGTTTCCAGAATTATATGTTTTTCAGTATTATGTATGAGTGCCACTAATATAGAACAACTGGTAATTGTGTAATGTATCATTCACGTATGCTGATCACATGTCGAATGAATGCCACAAAATTGTAATATGTTGACTCAAACTACTCCTATGACAAAAAATTATGTCTGTGTTATGGCAGTTCGGCGACTGATTAGAAAGAATTCTCATGATTTGAAAATAATATCCAGAAACTGTGTAGAGAATGACCTGAGTATACCATAAAAAATTTAATGAATGAAATCAATACAAGCTTTCATTTAATCACCCTTAGAATTAAAAAATATTTCATTTCGATGTATGCTTCAGGTTCTTGCAAAAGAAGGTACCGAAAGTGAATTCATCAAACCAGAACCTGCCATTGGCATTTCATGAAGTTTCTAGCATAACCTACCAGAATTGGTTTTTAAGTTGTTATGCATAGAATGGGACATTTTCCACATCCTTCATAATTATTTTCAGAACAGAAACGGCTTCAAAAGCCTTTCAATTTTTTAAAATATCAAAATTACTTTCATTACTTAAGAGATGATTTTATATCATTTAAAGAAAACTAAATATCAGACATAGCTTTTATTGAACTGAAGTTAACAACAACGATAAAACCATTTGCCAATTATTCAATGGACTTTTCAATTTTTGACATGATACTTGATATCTGTCCATTTTCGATTATTCAAAAATGAATATTGGGAGTACGGCTCTGACCGCAGTGCAAATAGTAAACTGTGAATGAATGAATGAATGATTTATTGATAGGAAGATCCTAATACACAAACATAATATACATATTTCATGTTATATAGACACACATAGTAAGGATATATAATACATATATACATATAGGTACACATAAATACATAATATATACTGAGTCACTTACTATCTATTCTATTGTGATACCTTTCAGATAATCAGTCAAATCTTTTTTGAATTGAAACAGGTTTTTATTATTCTTCACATTTTGGGGAAGTTTGTTATATTCAATGAGGCCTTTATATAATAAAATTTTCATGGAGTTTGATAAACTACATCGTGGCAGGTGAAAATTGTCATTTCGTCTAGTAGTGTAATTGTGAGTGGAAAATATATTAATTATTATAACTTCAGTATCTGGAGTCAACTGTGATAACACGATACATACAGCATGCATTCCGTACTGTATCGCAGCGACCACCAGGACCGCACTCAGCCCCAAAATGAGAGAAAAGCGTTGACCTGATACAGCATGACTGAATCTATATCGAGTGTCTCATATCCCAGAAATACCCAGAATGACTAAACAACTAAAACCTCTACAAGGTTGTACTCAACAGCATTGACCTATCCTTCCAAAGACCAAGCAATCGTGTTCAACTCTCTTGATAGTTCAAAACTCCAAGAATATTTACTTCAACTAGTTTACGGCATTAATGGGAACGAAAAAGCCGATCGAAGTGCGAAAGAAGCTGCGTTACATGCAGATGCCATGACAGAAACAAGAACAACATCCAGCAACCTCAAAGTGTTCATCAAAAACAAAGTGCGTTATACGTGGCAACACGTATGGTCCCAACAATCCTCCAAACTAGCTGAAATAAAACAGATTATTTCAATACCTTACAAAACTTTAAACTAAAGTCAGAAGCCATCAAATAGCTATCACCAGACTTGCCATACAAGACTCACTCATGAATACCTAATAACTGGAAAACAAAAACCATCCTGCGATATATGCGAGACAAACCTCTCAGTAAAACACATATTAGTAGAGTGTCCATTGTACTATAGGCTGGAGCATAACTTAGCTGAAAATCCCAAGGACATCTTAGGGGAAAGCTGTTATACACAACCACTCATCTCATACTTAACCGACATAAAGATATTACATAAATTGTAAATAACTTTTGTAAAATACTATGTCATACCGCTAATAACCTTGAAGGTTGATGTGGTTATTTTGTAAATAAAAAAGAATATTTTTCATAGCATCAGTAGGATTACTAAACTGAGTTTGGTCGTATTGGGGTAGCTTTTTGGGGAAAAGTATTTTCCTATATGGAGCATGTAGAGAGAGTTACTTATTACATACTGGCAAAAACAATCACCAGCAACGGGGTCAATTTGTTCTCTTACCGAATATTCCAATTAGGGATTGAGATATTGGGATAGTTTCTGGTTTACAAATTATTCTGCTATTTCGAGAGTGTACAGCAAGTTCCTAATAGTTTATTTGCATGAAAAAATCACCTTCAACGGTCAATTTCTTCTTATAGCAAATTGTTCAATTCCGGAGTGTGATATTGGGTAGTTGGTGGGTTAAAAATTGAGGTAGCTTTTAGTTACTGAATCCTTTCACTTTATGAAGCATGCAGCAACGGTCAATTTGATCGCTTGGATAATATTTCGATTTGGGCCTTAGATATTGGGCTAGTGTTTTTTTGTCACAACTTATTTCACAATATGGAGCGTTAGAGCAAGTTGCTACTAATGTATCTCCATGAAAAAAATTAGTAAATATTAGTTAATCTTATTAATACTATGACCGTTTAGTTGTGGGTGACTTATTGGGGTAATTGGAGGATTTTTAGGCGGTTCCCATATCAATTCAATTTTCGAACGTGTCATGAAGATGCCAAAATATAGTTATTCATCAAAATATTCTCGAAAATGTCCATTTTCAATTCGAAACCATCAAATTCCATAAATGATGAAATAAAAAATAATATTGAAAAAAAATTTTGGCAAACAAG